CTTGTACAGTGGTTGCACTGTACCTCCCCAGTGGTATCTGTAGCTGCAGAATCCACATGTTACTCCATTAGGGGGCGTACGGGGCTCGCGCACACTGGTACTTTGAAGGGACATGGAATAGCTTGGGTTGTCCTTACCAAGCCACTACCGATACCGAAATTCCTGCATGACCCTAACCCTTAACCCTAACCCCTCATCCATAAACCCTGAACGTAAACATTAGTAGCCATGGTGGCCGACTAGACCAAGGTCATGCTGTTTCTCATATGGAAGGCACAGTAAATCGTAGGAGAACCGCGTTGCGAACACGTTGAGGTTTTGAAGCCGAAGCCTAATCCACTCCCCCTTATATAAGAACCGTCCCCCTAATATGGGGGTGGGGGGTTTTAGTATTAGGGAGAGGATTACCCTGACTCCTAAGCCCTGAACCCTAGATACAAACCCCTTCAAGCCCTTTTCAAGGGACGTACTTGGAGGTTCGAAGTACTTACAATAACCTACTTATAACTGCACTTAATAGCGGTAGTGTTTCAAAATATACTTATCTCGACGCTAGATAAAAACCTCGATCCTCTTCTCTTCTCAGTTTCCTTTCCCTCCTCACGTTCTTTTCCACTTGAATCTCTACAATTCTCTCACTCAACAATCTCCACTGTTCGGAGACCTAACCCTGACCCCCAAATCCTAAACACTAGTCGAAAGGTTGAGCCCTGTACATACATGAACACATAATATGTATATGCATATACATAGATAGGTATATCTATATATGTACTAGGATGCTGCCACCACTCCGTAACAGCTGGAGGATGCTTATAATATTGTTATAAACAGCCCTCAGCATTCCTCCTAGAATAGACTGTTACTGGGTAGGGGCAGTACCCAGTCTATATATATATATATAAAGATACACACATATATTGGTTACATATACATATATATATATATCAGTTATATATACATATCGTGTATATATATATATTTGACAGTTATATATATATATACATCACATCGAAAGTCTTTATGCCGGACGTACAGGTGTTGACTGGCATTGCGCTCCTCACAGCTGCTTGGCATTGGCTGAGTAGGACTTTGTTATATAGACGGACTGGAGCTACATGGGGATGTTGCTGTGTTTTAATACAGAGTTTATGAGTTTAAGATTTCAGGCGTAGGGTTCCGTAAGTTCTCCATATGAGCTATAGTCCAAAATCCTTTAATTGAGCGTTATATAGGGGATATTATATTTGGGAGTATTATAGGGCTTCTTAAGGGGGATACTAGGAGTTTAGACCATATCTCATATGAGTAGTACTATCTCACACGGGAATACTTGAATTCCCCGAGTTCGAGGGCTGAGTGCCATGGGGAGTATGATTTCCTGGGTTGCTGCTTTGGAATTTACACTAATGTCCTAGAAGAAGGATACGTACCCTATGAGGTACCTCTTTGGCACTTAGCTAGGACCTTAGAACCTTGACATGTTTGGGGTTCCTCTACATTCCTATTACAGATACCTAAAAGTTAACACTTGGTAGGGGTGCTAAGCGTCATGGTGTTACTAGATACCCAGATTACGGTAACTTAGTTTAAGCTCCTTAACAACAACCCAGTTTAGGGGATCATGGGGGTCCCTACGCTGGATGGAGGAACTGCTCCGCTTATAGGAAACCCATGAAGCTGTAGTTCCTAGGTAATGGAAAAGAAAATGGAAACTACCATTTAAGGGTTTAGGTTTAGGGATATATGTGGTTTCCCAAAGTCAGGGTACCCTTTTGGGGTTTCCTATAATGAGCGTGATAGTGTTCGGGAGTTTATTTTGGGGTCCCCTTCTTTAGAGAAATTACCATATCCGAGGTGGTGCAGGATTTTCTCCATCTACAGTAGCAAGGGTTCTGAAGGGAAGCTTTGTTGAAAATCTCCTACACCCTAGAAGCCCTATATACCCCTGTATAATCCTATAGCTTAAGGCCCCTAAATCCCAACCTCTAAACCCTAAACCCATAGTAGTGTCCATTTTCTTTTCCATTATCCCAAAATATCCCCTACATGAAGCTTAGGTGGTCTTGGCGAGCTGCCTACTGCTGCTGGTCCCCGAACTCCTAACTATGGGAGTCTGGGTTGCTGTTAAAGTTGGGACCAAGGCAATACATTGTATACATAGGGGGTGTATTCCCTTATTCCCTACTAAGAACCAGTAAGTTAAGCTACCATGAGGCGGATATACAGTAATCATGCGGCTTCGAATGGTAGATTTTTTAACTTCTGCGACAGAAGCCCAGGAATTTTGGCCTACTGCCTAGGGCCTGTCCCTCAGACTGTGAATGGCTACGCGTGGCTTCCCAAACCTAGGGGTACCTTCAAAGGGGGATACAGGGGTTATGTAGGGAATACGGTTTAGGGTGTAAATTTCCTGGGGTGTATAGGGGTTATATAGGGGTGATATAGGGATAATGGAAAAGAAAATGGAAACTACCATTTAGGGTTGTGTAAGGGGCTATATAGTTTCCATGTTCTTTAATACAGGGTTTAGGGTTTAGGTTGGGTACTGTCCCCACTCACTAACAGTTGGATAATAGATATATAGCCCTTAATAGGACCCCTAATATAGACTGTTACTGGTGGGGGGCAGTACCCAAGGTTTAGGGCAACTACCAAGTTGAGCACCTGCAAAATTCATTGTTCTGTGATGCGGGTCAGGCTCAGACATGCCGTGGATGCAGATCACATCGCTGCCATCGACAACGTGACCCGCAGGCCAACTCTTCAACATGACTTCTCAAGATGACTTGCTGCGACAACTCTCCAGGATGAATTTCCTAAGAATTAAACCCCTGGATCCTGAAACCCTAAACCCAAGCCTGCCGCAGGCTCACTACGAACAAAAAGCGGCCTGCGACCGTGGGCTTTTTCTTTGCACTGGGCCACTCTACAGTGGTGGTAGTAGTGTGTGGGACTTACTTCCTTGCGCTCCGTGTGGAGGTTTCCCAAAATTCGGGGGCCCCTTTAATCAGGACTATAGTATTTTGGGGTCTATATTGGGGTCCCTTTATTTTGGGAAACTACCATATAACCCTAAACCACTAAACCCTAAATCCTAAACCCCTAAACCCTAAACCACTAATCCTAAACCCTAAACCCTTAACCCCTAAACCCCTAAACCACTGATCCTAAACCCTAAATCCTAAACCCCTTAGCCCCTAAACTCAACCACTAAACCCTACACCCCTAAGCCCTAAACCCTAAACCACTAAAGCCTAAACCCCTAAGCCCCTAAACCCTAAACCCCTAAATCCTAAACCCCGAAGCCCCTACACCCTAAGCCACTAAACCCTAAACCACTGAATCCTAAACCCCTAAGCCCAGAAACCCTCAACCCTGCGTCGTCGTTTTGCTCCAGCTTCTGCAAGGTGTGGCCTACTTGCACTGCCATCTCAAAATCTGAGGCATGCGGTGAGGCCCTCTCATGGTGGCGGTTTAGGGTTTAGGGCTTAGGGCTTAGGGTTTAGGGTATAGGGCTTAGGGTTTAGGGCTTAGGGTTTAGGGTTGGAGGGCTTATAGTGGTTTCCATGTTTTTCCCATTATCCCTGTATACCCCCTATAACCCCTAGATTACTCCTATATAACCCCTATATACTTGTACTAGTTTCCATCTTCTTTTCCATGATCCCAATCCCTGAAACATATACAAATGTGTATGTATATATACAAATATATGTATTACGAAGCTGATCTGGAAACTGACAGTATGTGAAATGCCGATCTTGTGTCAGGACAGCGGAATCCAGCGGTGGTGTGTTGGGAGCTACGATTTCGGGCAGCTTCCCGCCTATTGATTAACAGCAATCCGCCTTGTGCCACGTGAGCATAGCAGGAAGTGGTTGAAGAACAAGATAGCTAGGACCTACACTCATGCGTTCCCCTACTGCCCCCCTTATACTACCCCCCTTGGCTCCCTCTTACTTAACCTCAACTAGGCCTGATTTCCTTTAAAAAACGTTCATCAAGGGGACCCTTGGGGCGGGAGTATAGAGGGGGGTTAGGAGGGGATGAATCCTAAACCAGGCCGACGTTTTTTGCTCTGTGATCAGTGATCTGTGTCATTGCTGCCAGTCTTTTTGTAGCCATAAATGAAACATCATCCAGCTCCCAGAGTGCGAGGTTTCCTGATCGCCATAGCGGTCGGGCTCTTAGAATTTCGTGTCCTGCGGCAGTCGGCATTCCAGACCTTAAGACCTAAAGCCTAAACCCTGATTACCGAGTGCGGGATCCCAGAACCGCAAAGCCTGTCTTCAGGTGAGCTTCCGTCAATAGTTTTGCTTTATGATGGGGCCCGTAACAGTGGACATAGGGGGTCCTTCTTTAGGGTTTAGGCTAGGTCCAAATGTAGTCCCCAATAAGGAACCCATGTCCATGTAATTATGCAGGAAAACTGACTGTAGCTCAGGTGATTAACTCCTTCCTCCTTCGGCGACAGTTGCAGTCTTGGAAAGTTTGGCCCTCAGTCGATCAGAACAGGTCTTGTTGCCCAGACTCCTGGGAGTATCTAAAACTTAGATCCCCTAGATAGACCCCAAATAGCCCCTGTATGAGCTACTGTCAATAGCTTTATGAAGGTACCCTTAGCAGTGAACTTAGGGGTCCCTCTTGTAGTTTAGTATAGTCCCGAATATGTTCCTTAACAAGCGAGCCATGTCCATTACTTGCCTGCTGTCATATTGACTGTAGCTCAAATAATCCCTATATAACTTGCCATATGGTTTCAGGGGATCGATTTTTTACCAGAAGGGTCTGGACGTGGCATGTGCAGATTGCCTGTCCATCCCAGGAGCAAAGCAGCAGCTCGGCCATACGATCAGTCTTCTGGGCCTTTTTCGGCTAGAGACAAGGTAGAGATGTATGCTTTACATATACATATGCTTATACATATGCATCGCCATATACATACACATACATATACGTATACATATACACCCACATACATACATACATACATACATACTTACATACTTACATACTTACATACATACATGCATACATGCATACATGCATACATGCATACATTGTACATGCATACATGCATGCATGCATGCATGCATGCATGCATGCATGCATGCATGCATTCATTCGTTCATTCATTCATTCATCAGAGAGTCCGTTGAAAGGGATTATGTAGGGATAGGGCTTAGGGTTTGCCGTGTAATCGGATGCGCAACTGACCGTTTCAAGGATATGGCGAGCATGAGCACACCGTAGCTGGCATCTGCATGACCTGTTGTCCGGGCATGTTCAATGGAATCACAGCTCCTTGGCAGATGCCACGGCGTCTGCACTGGCTTAACCTTTTCACGTAAGTTTAGGGCTTAAGATTTCAGATGTAGGATTTAGGATTAAGGGTTCAGGATTTCGGGTTTAAACGGTTTAGGGAACGGTTTAGGGCTTAGGATACAGGGTTTAGGGTTGCTTTGCCTCAGGTATCCTGTTGGCATTGCATTCGGCTTGGGCTTTGACACCTCCAGCGAAGTGGCTGTGCTAGCCATGGCTGCAGCCTCAGGTCATCCCAGAGCTACTTTGGTTTTGGATTTAGGGTTTAGGGTTTAGGGTTTAGGGCTTAGGGTTTAGGGTTTAGGGTTTAGGGTTTAGGGTCAGGTGGACTTAGTAAGCAGGTTAACAAGGGGTATAAATAAGGTTGCTACATGGGGTATTGGCGTTATTCACCTGCTTACTAAGTCCCCCGGACCCTCCAAGTATTGAAATAACTCCCAAGCCCCTTAAACCGGCAGACGTAGAACGCTTGAATATTTTTTCATCCACCACATTGAGAAAGCGGTCGGTAAACCCAAAAACCCGAAACCCAAGACCCTAAACCCGGGACACAATATGGGGTATATGGGGATCCTATCATAATATACCAAAGCCGTATTCTATATACTTAGGGGCGATTACAACCCTAAATCCTAAACCACCAAGGTCGGCCTTTCTCACAGCCTGGAGCACCCCGCCACTGGTTGCAAAAATGTCTGCACCGCTACCATTGCAGCTTAGGGTTTTAAGGGTTTAGGGGTTTTGGGGTTTTCGGGTTTAAGTTTAGGGGTTTCAGGTTTTAGGCTTTAAGGGTTTTCGGGTTTAGGATTTAGGGCCGGAGCGCGTTCCTTATAGCCTACTTATAAAGGTACCCTGAAGTCCCCCTAAGTGTGGTTATGATTGGTTTACAACTCAAGTTATGAGTGGGATAAAAGGAACGTGTCCCTCCAAGTACCCTAAACTCTAAACCTGAACCCTAAACCCTGAAGTCTTAACCCTGCGGTTACCTGGCCGAGGTGTTCATCATGCTGCTCCCCCTGATGTTTTTGGCGGGAATGTGCTTCATAGACACCATCAACGGAGTACCTAGGAAGCTGTAGTCTCCTTAGGCACCATTGTTTTAGTAAAACCCTAAGGCATTATTGACAACATTATTTTCACAATAGGTCTAAGGGGACTACAGGAGGTGTGGTGGTACCCTTTTTGCCATCAATGGTTGCGGATTCCTTTTTCAAAGTTGACCAACAGAAAATGGCACCCTTACTATAAGATGGCCACTGGGCTACCAAGGTACTCATGGCCCTGGTCTACGGATCAGGAGCAGATGGGAGCATGCAGAGGTTGTGATTTGGCTGCAAAAAGCCAAGGCTTGCTGATTCTTCCTCTCCTTTCCTTTGCAGGCACCTTTCAAAGTCCTGAACAGTGTATAGTCCCCTTTAAGGAGATAGAATATGGCTTTGGGTATATTATAATAAGATCCCCATGTACCCCATATTCTATCTACATAAGGAGGACTATACCCCGCCGCTTGCTGGTGGTTAGAGGAGATCAAAGGAACAGCTTCATCACCAGGACTACAGGACTATGTAGGGACTACCTTAGGGATCCATGCCTCCTTGCCTTAGACATTGCAACGCATCATCACCAAAGTCCATGAAAACATCCTAACAATATGGGGGTTTCCCAAAATTAGGGGTACGTTTTTGGGGGCTCTTATAACAAGGACTATAGTATTTTGGGGTCTACATTGGGGTCCCCTAATTTTGGGAAACCACCATATCTAAGCATGCCGGACCTTGCCACGACAACGGAAAGATCTGTGACTGGTAGCTGCGCTGAGGTACTACAACATGTTCTTGACGGCCACATCAGCAGCGATGCTTGGCATGCTTACATGCGCACAGACACCCGCATCTTGCGAACCCTGGACGTGAGGTTGCTGAGTCATCCTGGATAGTCCGAAAAATCATTTAAAAAACTTTCGTGGCTACAAGGATGCCGAATAATGATCACGATGTGAACGACGTGAGAGTTCTTAAGCCCCTTGCCGCAGCCCCCTTTCAATCTTGAAGTCAAAAAGCTGGCGCCCTAAGCCCTAAATCCTAAACCCTAAATCCCGAGCCCTAAGCCCTGAAGCCGAACCTACACTGCAAGCTTGGCAAAGCCCACCACGATATGAGCCATTGTCTAAACTATCTCCCTTAGTAACCCTTATAGTAGTCCCATATATAATCCCCCATATAACCCCCTTTAAGGAGTTTAGACCCTAAACCCTAAACCCTATATAACCCTCTTTAAGGAGTTTAGGCTACAGCTCATATGCCGAGGATAGCTTTCACCGTTGGAAGCTTGGAGTTGCTGGGCGTCTTTGCCACACAGGAAGGCGCTTTGGAGCCTAGGGCGTTGGGGTGTTGAGGATTTAGGGGTTTAGGGTTAAGGGGTCTTAGGGGTTTAGGCTTTAGGGTTTAGGGTTTGGGATTAAGGGTTTAGGCTTTAGGGTTTCTAAGACAATCCTGAAGCGGGATCCCAAATTCATCCTAAACCCTCTTTTCCACCCAGATCACCTGGAGAAACCTAAATAATGGCTCCTAACCAAACTTCACCGACAACTATGACAAAGCATTTCCGAGTGGTCGCCACATGCAGGTTTGAATGGTGGATGTTGGAAAGTTATCGTGGAGCTCAACAACAACTTCGAGATAGTCGGCATGTTCATCATCATTTTCTTCTTGCATCTTGGACTTTCAGAAATACAAGCGTCTGAGATGTCCTGGTTTGTTCTTGTCGTTGCGATTCCTCGCGAACACGAGAGATCTCGGAAATCCAGGCCACCGTTTGTGGTCCTCTCTGGTGTCTTGTTAGTCTGGACACACCCCCTTAATCCTGCGAAACTGCCTTTCATGAGGACGAGTGCCGCGACGGCCTTTTTCTGCTTCAAGTTCGCCTTTCCTGGTGGAAAGGTCCCTGGGAAGCAGAGTGATACATGACAGGAAGAGTACAGAGGGGATGCACACATGTTTAACAAGCAATCCCATATTTGCAGAGGCCCCAAGTTGTCCTTCTTTACTAACCAATGCTGAGGCATCTCTGACTTTGCATGCCTTGCTTGCTTGCTTTGGGTTTAAGAGTTTGGAGCTTAGGGTATTTTCTCCAGATATCGTCCTTCTGTTTAATTCAAAGCGTCAGAAGCGGTCGTTCTGCAGGTTAAACCCGAACCTTCAGCCCATGATTTTTGTTTTGAGGAGTCTCAGTCCCTAAACCTTAACTTACATCTGACATAAAGGCCCCGGAGCCCGGACGTCAGGATCTGCTCAAGTACATTGAGACTGGGCTGTTGTTGCGCAGCGCTTTACATCTTTTTATGTATGAACCTGGTACATATTTGAAACGATCATCTTCTGTCGTGCCTCAACAATATGCCAGGAAAAGGGCGACTTTATTGACCGATCTGGAGTATGAAGGCTCAAAGGCAGCCTCGTTGTGGCGCATAAGGTGCCCAGGATTCCAGTCATTCTACTAATGCAGGAAATGCTGCACCATCACAGTCCCAAAAGCACTCTAACTGTAGGTGATGCAGGATTTCCTCCATCAACCGTGAGGGTATGGCCCTGACCTAATTTTACGTTACTCATGCGGTCCTGCTCAAACTCCATGGAAGCAGGCAGAGCCACTTGAGCTATGGTCTGAACTCCTAGTATCCCCCTTAATAACCCCTATAGCAGTTCCCTATATAATCCCCTATATACCCCCGTTTACGGAGTTTAGATCCTAAACCCTAAACCCTAAGCCCTAAAGCCTAAAAACCCTAAGCCCTTAACCCTATATAATCCCCTACATAACCCCCTTTAAGGAGTTTAGACCATAGCTCACTTGTTCATGAAGAGTCGCTTCAAAAGAGACCGGAGATGATAGCTATAGGTTAGGAGGACCCCCCACCCTGTAATAGTGGAGGGTTTAGGGTTTAGGGTTTAGCGTTTAGTTATATAAATATGAGAGGACCCTAATATAATCCCAATTATAGTGACTCTTACTGGGTTAAAAAGGATTATATTCGGGTCCTCTTATATTCCTATGATACCACTATTACAGGGTGGGGGGTCCTCCTAAGCTATAGGATGCTAGAGGTGAGTTCGCATAGTCAGCTGCCGGGTTTGGTTCAAGCTGTTCTCTCAGCAGCAGGTGCCAGGGAAGGGGTGCTGTGGGAATCTTGAGAATGTCTGAGGTACTTGATGTGGGTTTCAAAGAAACTTTGTTTGCCTGTTGATAAACAAGATAGGTGTAGTTCTGCTCGCGGTACGGAACACGGCCGCTGCCATCACACTGTATCAGCTGCTCAAAGGTTGGCAAACACTGCTCTCGAGAAGATAGAAAAATTCGAAAATCGTAGCAGCTACGACAGATTCACGAACTTATTTAAAGTTCTTTAACGAGAATCTCAGTTAAACGCAGCGGCATTTCTAGTACCGCTCCCGTAGCGCCAAGGAGCTCTAGAGGGTGGCTTTGTTGGCCAAACCCTCAAAGAGCCTGCGCTGTCTTTTTGTAGGTCCCAGAAAGACCATTCCAGGAAACAAGCTATCCCCTTAACTCCCAGTATCGGATGGACCGTTTAAGGATTTGATGAATGGTAGTTCCCCTAAATGAGGGACACCAATATTGACCCCAAGATATGATCATCCTTACTAGATGGACCCCCCAAAAAAGGAACCCCTAATTTTGGGAAGCCCTAAACCCTATATGACCCCTATATTACCTCGATATAACCCCTGTATTCCCCAATACACTCCCGGAGCTCGACACCAGTAGAAGCGGCTTCAGGTTTTGGGATATGGGGGTTTCCCAAAATTGGGGGCACCGTTTTGGGGATCCCCAATAAAAAGGATTACGGTATTTTGGGATCTATATTGGGGTCCCCCCCTATTTTGGGAAACCATCATACACTGCTTTTCCCCTCGGGAACAGGCCAGTTAACACCAGTGTGGGGCTGTGGCTTTTGGGCTCAGAGCCCTTAGTTTGTCCATGCTTCAAAGAGAAAACCAGCTGGCTCCTGGCTTGTTCTGTGAAAGCTGGAAAAGACCTCAGGCGGAGCTCCGACGTGAAGGGGTTTATCAAAGTTCCTGGCCTCTTTCTGAGGGGACTCTATTTAATCTCGCTCCTGGCAGTTCTGCAGTTGTAAGCACCTTCTTGGCTCAGGATACTCAGGATACTGTAGAAGCTTGGAAAAACCACAACCATTAGTCCTTCATGATTCTACTTATATGACCCATAGTCCAAATTCCTTGAAGGGGGGTTATATAGGGAATATATATAGGACACTACTAGAGGGGTTATTAAGGGGATACTAGGAGTTTAGACTATAGCTCATATGCTTATAGTAGAATGAACCCTGAAATCCTACTCGAGTTATCGAGGTCCCTACATTCGGCAAGGCCTGCCCTGTTAAAAATGGAGCCAGCGACTACAGCACCGACAAGCTGCCTAACCGGTGTAAGTTCCTTCCATTTGGACACGGAGTTCGTGGATCAAGTGCTGGAAGTGGGATGCGCCACCACCGATAACTTTTATACGATTGAGCCCATTGTCATTCGGGGCCGCAGCAGACATGTGCTGTGCCCTCGGACGCAGAAGATGGGCTCATCGTATGTTGACGCTCTTTCTGGAAAACAGCATGTGGGATTCTCCAACTACATGCTCAGCTACTCATGGGCCTATCAGGTCGGAGATGTAGTTGCATCTCTAGCGCAGCACTGCGAGAAGGAGAATCAAGATCCCCAAAGCGCCTTCACTGAAGTTGGAGAAAGAGAAGCCTTGGTCCCGCCCCTTATACCTCCTGATAATGAATGGCTCTGAGCATTTTGGCTTGGCTATTGTAACGCCCTCACCCTGCAACAAGTGGATAACATGTATCCTGTAGTTGTATCTAGCCCTTAAGATGATCCCTTATATAGACTGTTACAGGGTGGGTGGCAGTACCCAACCTAAACTCCTAAACCAATAAAAAACTAATCCCTACTATGATATTTGTTTGGCTTCGGGTCCAGGTGAGAGCCTGACTTGATCATTTCCCACTTTTGGTTAGCTGGGAATGAAGGAATGGAAAGGAACATGGAAACCACTATAATGTGTTGTAAGTTTCGTCACCTGTTTGCTGCACGTCTTTGTCAAGGCACATACTTCTGGATCTGCTGCCTCTGCATCAACCAGCATCAGGTGATTGAGGCCAGATTGACAAGCCTACGCCCTAAACCCTAAAGCCCTAAAACCCTAAAACCTTAATATATGCGGGGTTTGTTCGTGATTTTCTGTGAATCCTACGGTGCATGGATGGAACTTTTGCATTACCTTAGTACTTCAGATGGCCCCCCCACCCCGTAATAGTAATATGAGCTATAGTCTAAACTCCTTAAAAAAAATATGCAGGGTACTACTATAGGGCTTATTAAGAGGATACTAGGAGTTTAGACTATAGCTCATATAATTGGAATGTCAACGATTACATCACTATTATCCCTTTCGGTCAAGGTTGTCAGGTGGTGGGTCCACTTAACTAATACCCTATATGCACGCTTGGAGTCGCGGCTGTATGGATGTTCTATGTGGTGCTAGGCTTCCCTCACCCTCCATACTGCTGACGTTAGAAATCCTGCATGACCTTATGATACCGAACCCCCTTGGTTCCCGTGTTTGGGGTCATGCAAGTTGTTCAGCATCAAACGCCTAAACCCGGAAGCCTAAACCCTCGATATTCGTAGATACTTCCTATGGACCTTTCAAGGGACGCTTCATCCCTCAAACCTTTCTCAATCGCTGTACTTTTGTTTTCGTTGCTTTATCATGGTACTGGCTGGGATTCGGTGCAGGCTGGCTTTTGTTTAGATCCCCTAAACCCTAAAACCCTATTTGGTGCTTGAGGGAATTCAGCGAGTCCGGGCTATAGAAGTCCAGCAAAGGCACGTGAAATACAGAGCGGGTTACCAGCGGCCTCCCAGCCCTCGAAGTTCTTGACTGGCTGATGCTTAGTCGGGAATGGAGGAATGGGCGCAAACGGTAATCCCAACAGAATTCCCAACAATCATCCCAGAAGTCCGACCCTTCAAATGCTAGTTGACAAGCACTACTGTTGTGGACCATTTCCTGTTTGGACAGGGTTTGAACCTGAGAGGTCCGGGAGCAAGGTGAGGAGGTACCGTTTGAGGACTTCCGCGCTGAGTTCCAGAACCGAGTGCAGGGCATCGGCCGCGTTCTCGCGCTCATGATTCCTTGGGACAAGCCCGTTCTGAGACTGCAGTGAGGATTGAGGGCTTGGGTGCTTGCAGGGCTCTGGGTTGAGGTGCCGTCAGGTTCAGTTCAGGCTTGCAGGGGTCGTCGTAGGCTATCACACAAACAGGTTGCCTAATTGAAGCTGCCATTATAAACAAAAGCTCCGCAACACTGACTGCCACAGCGACAGCAGCGGAAACATCCGCAGGCGCAGCAGCAGGCGTGAACGCCACAAAGATGCTTAGCAGATTCCGTCAGTCCGTCGAATTTGCTGCTTCTGCGGCAACAGTTAGCAAGGTATAAGCCAGAATCAACAAATCGCAGCCAGAAGCAATGACTTACTGATTGTTGGCAGGGAATGGGGAAATGAATCCCTGTAGTGGCCCTGCATGATCTTCCCATATTCCACTCCCCTACTTCTCGCTTACCACGGGTAAGATGAGGTGTATGCAAGTCGTGTTTGGTGTGTCTTCGAGCTGTTTACTGCAGTCAGTGATGGGACCTGCAGCCTAACTGTGGTCATGCCACCCAGCGAAGTGTCGCGCTTCTGCAACAGCATCTCCAACGGTGCCTTCACAGGCCACTCTGCATGATTATTGGGAGGTTGTCAAAATCAGTCCCCAAAGATTCTTTCAAGACACCCCCAGAAGCCCTGTGTAATCCCCGTTTTAATAGTGGGGTCCCTAAAGGGCCCCGACTTTCAGATCGCGATGTGAGCTGGGATTTCTCAAAATTGCGGTCTTTTTGGGAATCTTGCATTACCAGATGTACCTGATATCCTAGGAAGTGAGGGTTGTCGGTGCCAGCTTTCCTCCATCCACAGTACGGATATGTATGCGCATATACATATATATACATATATATATATATGCATGTTCATATGCAATGTAGGTGTGTTTAAATGATTTCAATGCTTTTTCAAAAGGGGTGCATGATCGCGCCCAAACGGGCCCTCCTTGACTCCCCTACGCCCTTGTGGAAGGAAGAATCATAAAAGGAAATGATAACACAAGGAATGAGAGCACTCACGTTAGAGTACCCAGTCAGAACGGACCTGCCATGTTGTGTGATTCTGTTGAAGAACTCCTCAACATGCTGAGGCTACCTGTGGTTCGCCCTGGAGCAACTGGATTTGAAAAATGCGCAGGCTTCCGTGCCAAATGATAAGGATATGATCCTGCAACTGGTCGAGGAGGGTGCTTCTGAAAATTTCACTCAAAATGCCTCAGTCCCTTTGCAATCCCCATACATTCCAGGATTCCAACATTCCCTAGATGGACCGCTGGCTTGAGAATTTTCCCGAAAACCCTTAACCCTCAATTCTAAACCCTAATATCCTAAACCCTAATCCACCCCATAACCCACCCCAGGAAGGCGTGGGGACAGACAATCTGAATCAGGCCAGGGCCTTAGTTGCAGGTCGAGTCAATCTACGCCTGCCTGGTAGGATTATATGGGATAATAGAGGGTTCTTTTAGGCTTATATATAGGGTTATGTAGGGTTATATAGGTTTAGATAGGGCCGGCTATTTGGGCCATGTAGGTGTTCTATAGTAATGATGGGGAAGGAAATGGAAACTACTATTTAGGGGCTACACTTACCTGTCTATAGCAGTTGCGATTCAGGGATTCAGGTTAGGTAGGGAGTAGAGTTTAAGGATTAAGTTGTTGGGTTTGGAGTTTTGGGCTTAGGGGATGTTACCCCACTAGTGAGATGGAAACCTACATAACCCTTCCCCAGCTGTACTTGCCCGTTTAAATGAGGTTTCGGGTTTAGGATTCAGAGTTTGGAGCTTATGGCCTAGGTTTAGGATTTAGGGTTCGGATGCGTATTTAGAGGAACAGGGAAGAACCAAATGGCAAGAATGGAGCCCTAAACCCTAAACCCCTAAACCCTAAACCCTATGCAACCTTGATGGAAGCGGGATCCTATGGGCTCAAAGGCTGCTAAATGTAGAAAATCCAGTCATTACCAGTAGCAGTCAGCCATTGCAATACAAAATACCCCAAAAAGGCGGCGATCATAGTCATCTTAGATGATTCTAGACCCCTATGTTACGCTTCCCCAAGCTGGGCTTTATAGGGGGTATCTGCCATCGCTAAACCCTAAACCCTAAACCATATACCACAAACCATATACCCTAAACCCTAAGCCATTCATTGGTAGTCGTTGGAGCCTGCTACTGCTTAGCCCTTGAGGTTCGTCTTTAGTCTGGACCTTCCTTGAGGATCCTTCGGTCTAGCGTTTAGGGCTTGGGTTTACGGTTTAGGGCTTACGGCACGCGGTTTAGGGTTTAGAGCTTAGGGTACGCGGCTTAGCATACGCAGTTTAGGGTTTTGGGTTTAAAGCTTAGGGTACGCGCTTTAGGGTTTCGGGCTTGGGGCTTGGGACCCCATGCGCAACAACCCCTAGCTAATGCGGCCTTGAAATTCCTAGGTGGTCCCCACATTTTATCCCCCCTAAGCTACAATCAGCTATAAAGGGTCCCCGTTGAGGTTCCCTCCTTGAGCCCGGAGACTTCCCCCAGAGATAAAGTCTGGTTGTGCTGAAGAAAGAGGAATCTGGTACCCATTTGATTTAGGGGCTTCAAATACTTATAAAGACTGGAGAATCAGATAGGAAAGAGAATATGCTGCGTGATATTGGGTTATATAGCGGACCAAAGCGGGTAGGAAGCGGACATGGGTAACCCCAACCCCCAAAGGTAGGACACCATTACAGTCATGTGCGAGTGGCAGGATTCTACTTTTGGGGGTTGGGATTGCGAAAATCCTGTTATTAGTGTTTTGAGGTTAAAGAGCATTTGGTCAGGGGAAGTCACGCTTGCCCCTGTCATAACTGATGTCCATAGTGTCATGTAGAGGTGAGAGCGACTGAACGGTGAATCCCACACAAGGCCTGGAAACCAGGAAGGATTCTTAAGTGCACAGTGCGCCAGAAATCAAATATGCCGTTGCGTTGAAAGACAGTACTTTCCCCTACCAGTCCCGCAAGAACATCTTGACGGAATGGGACAATTGAGTTGTATTTTATTCGTAGATATTATGGTACCCAACATAGAGTAAGATTATATCCTCCTTTGGGGTATAGTATTTTATATCAGGAATATAATCTTACTAGGTTCAACCACCAAAAAACACTACTCAATTGACACAATCTATTCATGATCAGACTTCCGAGGTTGTTCGGCAGAGGCTGTTGTCTTGGTTGAGCGAAGCAGCAAATTTGGAATGCCACAATCAGTTGTCCTGTGGTAGCTTGGCCGGGGATTCTGCAGCAATTGCTGTTGCAGAGACCCTTGGCAGACACAGCAGAAGCTTCCGTTGCAAGGGAAGCATAGGGCACGGATGCTTGAATGGCAGTGCGGTTCTAGTTCGCGTATTGCAGAAGCCTAAGAGTTACCAGCACTATGGTCCTGATTCCTTGTATAATTAGTTCTCTAGGGTACTTCAACTTGATTTCAAAAGCATACTCATCATTTAGGCCCCTACCATACCATACTTGGCTAAGGACATCGAACCTTCTGCACAGACTGGGCAAGTTCGATAAGGCCAGCGTGTTGTTGCTGGCAGCCAAAGATGCAGTGTTCACAGACGACGCGAGGACGATTGAGAAGGCGAACCTCTGGCGCGTGATTGGAAAGAATTACGACTATCTGGGACAGAACCAGGAAGCCGCGGCTGCTTTCTGTGAAGCATCTGAGATGCTGCGGGTGCTGGGTCAGCTGGAGTCCCATGATGGTGCTGCACTGCTGACATGCGTTGCTGCCAATTTGCAAGAAGGGGGCCAAGTGGAAGAGGCATTGGCTAATTACCGCAAGGCCTGGGAAATCAGACAAGCATGCGGTTCGGAACGATCCCTGGATGCATGACATAACAATTGGTAATAAAATCAATCATAAGAAGAAGAATATCAATAAGAGCAATAATAGCAAAACTGCAATATTTGAGCTTGACGACTGAGGTTGGCTAGGCTGGATAGACGTGGGGTTAGGTCCACGTGCAGTTTTGATGTTGCGTGTTCCTCCCGTGAACCAGATGTGGGTTTAGGGTTTAGGGTGATGCTGTATCGGAAAAGTAGCTCGGAGAATCAAATTTAAGTGGAATGTTAGACGAGTGATGAAGAATGGCTTTGCGAATTGATGGTTGACTGAACACTTCGAGAGATCTTGCTGGGGTCAGTTCCCCAATTGAGGGTGCGAGTTTTGATCTTGAAGGGACCTGGATGTTCAGAGTAACTTGCGATTATTCAGCAGGGTTGATCTGGGGCTTGCACAACAACCCCCAACCCAAAATCATAGTTTGGGCAACGGTAGTTGAACTGCAGCAGCGTTATAGACTTAAAACCTAAGCCCTAGGCCCCATGCGTTGATCTCAACATATGTTCTGCATAATCTTAAAGAGGGAGACCCGCAAAGTCGTTGGAAACTTTTGGGGGAATCCTCAAATCCTAAATCCTCAGTACTACGTCCCTCAAATTTCTCGGAAACCTAATCCCTAAATCCTCAGACTGTACACTCTAAACCCTACATCCTCAACCCTTAACCCAGAGCTGTCACTCAGTATTTAGACTTTCTCTGAGTATCGGGTAAGCACTCCTTCCATTGGCAAACTATGTTTGGAGGTGGCAAGGAACCAGTGCTTCATGCAGACGTAAAACTCCGCTGGCTTCAAAAAACTAAACCGTAAACCCTATGGTAGTTTCCATTTGCTTTTCCATTCTCCCTATATGATTCATAGTCTAAACTCCTTAGTGGGGTGTATATAGGGGGATTATATAGGGGAGGATAATAGGGATGATTAAGGGGGATACTAGGAGTCTAGCTTATAGCTCATAT